CAGCGCGAGCCAGCTCGTCAACCTCACCCTTCCATCCCCCATCGTCTCAACCACCACCATCAACAATCACAACCACATGTCTCCACCCTCCACCTCTCAACCCACAACATTCCACCTCTTCCCCCACCTCCCCCTCGAACTCCGCACCGAAATCTGGTCACTCTCGCTCCCCCCGCCCCGCCTCATCCACGTGCAAACAGAAAAAGGCGAAATCCGCATCCCTGGCCGGCACCCCAATAAATACTGCTCCCACGTCTGGGCCAAGCGTCTCCCCGTCCCCTCAATCCTCCACACATGTCGTGATGCCCGGGTTGTCGGATTGAAACACTACGAGCTACTCTTCGACACCAACTGTCGCCCCGCCAAGGAAGATCTCCCGGATCTGCATGATCTCCCCCTTCAGCGCGGGGGTGGGGGCCGAGCTCGAGAATTGATATTCCCCTTTGAGAGGAAGGCGTTGATGTATGTCGATTTGCAGAGGGATTACATAGTGACGTCTCATCGCCGAATAAATTTCAGACGGCCTCCGACAGGCTGGCCGAAAGATGAGATGGAAGATCCGCGTTTCGCTGCTTGGCCAGTGCAACAAGGTTTCTTCAGGATCGAGACATTTCGTGAAGTTGTTCCCGAAGAGGTGTATACCCGGATCCGGAACTTCGCTGCCGCATTCATGTTCTCTTTGAATGAGATTTTCAATCGAAGGCTCTCGATTGGCATGACGAGTGGGAGGAGGGTTTTGGTGATTCGGGATCCATTTGTGACGACTGAGCAGGGGAGTTCCTTTATTGATGCGCTTCAAGGTGTTAGTGGTGGGAGTGTTCCCGGGTTGAGTAGGAAGGGGAGGGTTAGGTCGTTGGTGAATCTTGGGGAGTTGCGGCAGGTGGTTGATGATGGAACGCTTTGGGACTGGGTGGTTGATCGAGAGAGTGATGAAAGAGTACTCAGGGAACAAGCTGAGTCGGACAGCTAAACTGCCCAAGCTGGCGTGTTTGATCGATGTGGCAGATGAAATATGCTCCTCTTTAATGCAGGAACACTCCGACAATGCATCTTGGTCAAGCAGAGCCGAGAACGAAGAAACTCCAACCTTATCAATTCAGTCTCTTCTTCTCATAGTGTTTTCTCCTATTAGATCAAGTTCTGGTTTCTGAATATTCGTCCCATCGTCCTCAAAGGACCGGATACTCAATCTCCATTTTGCCGCCTTTCAAGCACTACCGCATCACAATGGTGACCACCGTCCTCCTAACCCATCTTTTCAACCTCATCTCAGCTTACGGGGTCATCTTAGGAATCTACTTCAGCGACAACCTAGTCGATAAACTGGATATATGCAAATGTCCGGCCAGAAAGGGCCGGGTTAAAATAACTTGCAAGGTCAAAGACAATGTTCCGCCCAGTCACGAACAAAACGATCAAAGCTGATGCTATCTGCCATGTGGCAGGGGAGGAGAGACCTTGCCACATGTTCCTCGATCTTTTGCGAGCATTCCGTACACTTCACCAGGAGGACTTTCTTATGCAATTCAAGGATAAGCAAGTTAAGTCAAGCCACCGACACACCAGACCGAGCCTGAGACTCGCAACCTTGTAGCAATGAGTCGGCTTAAAACAGCTTTGTAGTTTCAAAATTTTACTTAGATTCCAATATTACTCTGCCTGGACTGAGAAATTAGTGGTAATCTCTGACCACATCTCCCAAAAGCTGCACGAAATACAACGCCATCATCAAATCCCTCAAACCGACCCGAATCTTGCGTCTCAACCTTCTCCGCCTCAATCACCTCTCCGTACCACCAGTCCACCTCCCCAAATACTGCCTCTCCATATCATCCTCTCTCTCCACCAAAAGATCATCCGTCCTCCCAACCACAACCCTCAAATCATATTCCTCACTTCCCTCCTCTCCCATAAGCGTCTGGTTCGAATCCCTCACTCTCCTCTCCATCCTCTCTCCTTCCCTCTCAATACTATCCGTCATCGACTCATCCGGACTCGGCTCCCCTACCTCAAGCACATCCGCTCGCCCAGCTTTCGTGACAAAGCCTGTCTCGAACCTCGGCGCTTGTCTCTGTCTCTGCACTTGTTGGTGCTGATCTTGAGGTGTAGCCACTCGAGGCGAAGCAGATGGTGATGGAGACGGTGACGGTGATGGCGAGGCATGGTTGAATTTCTCCTCTACCGGGATCGTCGCCGCGCCTAAACCCGGTGTAAGACCACGCTTGACAAGAGATTGGAGTTGGTTCAAAACGATGAATTCGAGTTTGAGTTTGATGGAGTAGACGAGTGGATGGAGCGTGCATTTGAGCGTGAATTTATCAGTGTAATCGAATAGCGTCAACACGGCATCTAGTGCAATGACGAGGAGTTGCACGAGCAGAAGTAGGCTGATGACTTTCCGCGTTTGCATCGGGTAGCCGATTTTCAGGAATTTCCGCGTGTGGTAGATGTACAGGCAAGACATTACCGTTTCCTGTAGAGTGAAAACCGTTTGTTGGATACGCTCCATGATTTGCATGGGCCGGTAGTAAGTATCGTGATGTCTTGTCATGAGGCCGAATTCGAAGACTACGACGGGGGTGTGGCAGAGTAAACCATCGATGAGGATTATCACGAGCAGCCATTTCAGGATGCGAGGATTGCGGACGACGAGGTGGAGGCGAGACCAGAGGACGATGGAGAAGCCCGTTACGTTTGCGACCCAGCCGACTTTGCAGATGATGACAACCAACACTACGGGCCAGCTGTTCTCGAAGGACTTGAGGATGTAGCCTGTGGTTTGGAGGATGATTCCAATGGTGGTGATGATGATGGACCAGAAGTAGACGCCGGTATGACGTTTGAATGTCACGTAAACGAGGATGAGGAGCTCGATGCTCATCCAGTACGCGACTGCGCAGACTGAAGCGATGAGGCAAAATGCTGTTGGACTTTGTTGACATTAGTCGCTTGTCAAGTCTTGATATGGGGGGAGACTTACTTCCAAGGGAGCCAACCTTGACGAGCAAATGTCCAATCATAATGAGAGAAGGGAACGAACTGAACGCATTTTTGATCCATGGTGATTAAGGGAACGATACAGTACTAAGATACTGATTTTTGGTTGACGATTTGGAGTATCGAGAGGAGTGCTTCGAACGAACAGAATAGTCAGCGGAAAATCCTCGACTATATGGATGTTTTCACCGCCGAGTGATACATTTCAATTGCCTATTAACGGCCCCCATTCCCGCAGCACTCAATCACATGAACTTGTAGCGAAAGGCCATCTCCATGCATCGATCCACAGACCCCACCCTTCGGTCATGACAGGGTTGAAAATGGCACTCTGGCGTCCTAATAAATGCAGACCACGTAAGCGATGGAACCGATTCCTTCTTTTTGGATGTCCTTTTGAGGATATAAATCGAGTGACACCCTTGTCGTGATAGGTTGATTGAGGCTGGATTGCAGCGCCAAGCTGCTGATTAAGGCACCCTACAGATTCGTTTGCTGGTTTAGCGAGACATACAGATCGATGACTATGCATGCGCATTGCAGACGGGAGCAGAGACAAGGTTGCAGGTAGCCAATAAGATCGCATTTTTGCTTCAAGAGATCGAGAATCTGTATCCAGTACTGTGGCACTGCCTGCGTAGCTGGTTATCCCGCTCTGATCTTGACTTGGCTTGACTTGCTGCAGTAGAGACCCTGATTTAATGATCAGATTGCTGGAATCGCTATATCACCGAGTGATTACGGTGCTCCTGTGGAAGAAGGCGGAAAATTCACTACGCGTATCCGGCGACACAACAATAAAGACTAGGAGAGACGTTAAGTGCTCGCTAACGCCAACCGCGGCCCAAAATCAATCAACACATCCTTCCACCTCCACAGTAGCACTTATCAAACACTGACACATGCCTGAAATCAAGATTTTCGACAAGTAATAGCTATATCCGTACCTGAACGGCATGTGTTTGATAAATCGATCTAGTGTGGCGGAGTGCGCAATGCACGAAAGAAGCCTTATCATTGGGATGAGTGCAGAGCTGAGTAAGGAAACCTAAATTGCACTTCAACTTTGCTTCTTCACGACCTGAAGCCCGTATACCGGATTCAGCTATATGCGCCAAGGTCTTGAGCTATTTGGTATTATGTTCATCTCTGACTGTGTCGCGGCTCGCTCCGAATGACTGCAGTCTGGGACTAGGGACGGTAACGGGTACCTTCGTTCTGGCCCCCATTGAGGCGTCAATTCCTTTGAAAGGGCCGGTTACGATATAATGGAGATATGGAAGTGCAACTAATTTTAGCCACTTTTCAAATAGCTTGAAAGCCCAAATATGGAATCGATTTTTGCAGCTTGATCATACACCCCACTTTCAAGTGTGAAGTGGACAACCACAACCTTGTAAGCCCCGTTCGCTTAACGATAACTCTGCACATGAAAAGGATTGGCCCACCACCACCATCATATATTCATTTGATGGAATAATTCAAGATCTCATGTGATCTCATCCAACTTGGCGGAGTGGTTAACGCGTCAGACTTGAAATCTGATTCCTTCGGGAGCGTAGGTTCAAATCCTGCAGTTGGAGTTCTTTTGCTGCCCTTGAAGAAGTGGCGGCGTCGATCTTTTTGAAGTAGAGAATAAAAAACAATCTCATGATTCTGATTTCCTGATGAGAAGAGCAGGGGGAAGAATAGTTCTTCAAAGGCTGAGTGTTAGGGCTGGCAGTAGCTCAGGGAGAATGTTAATATTTGAGGCGGCATGTCTTTTGAAGGTTGTGAGACAGCATCTTTAAATTTTTCTGACTCAGAAGAAGTGGACCAACCAGAAGCGAGCCCACATCCGACTAGCGCAAAGAACTCTGAAGAGAAAATTTTAAAGATGCAAAAAAACGGCAGACGACAGCCCAGAAGCAAAAGCCATACTTATCCTTGGGTCATAATGGATAAATAGGATAGTCAGTGCCCATAACTCCAAAAATAGAAGTCCCATGATAGGGCAACTCTCGCACTCCGCCTGGGGCTCGAACCCAGAGCCTCAAGATTAGAAGTCTTGCGCGCTACCATTGCGCCAGCGGAGCGAATGAACAGAGACAGGGGTTAAATCCATGTTTCATGTCGGGTTTCTGCCTATTTGGCTATATATAACAAGAAAAATAGTTTTTCGCGCATGACCCACTACAAGAGAAGAAAATTTATCACGTGTATATTGTTTTTAAAGAGCAAAGCTTTTAAGACGGTGGACACTGTAGATTAGTCTATTGAAATGGCTTGTCAAGCATTGCGTGTTGACTAAAAAGACTTCTTCCAAATCTTTGGGTATCTTATTGTTCTCAAGAAAGACGTCATTTGAAATTGTGAAACCCTTACTGCATGACCATCAACCCTTGCCCACAGCTTCTTGTTTACCACTGGTCACTTCATTGCCAGCATCATTGTTTAGATTCCCATCAAGGATTCTTCCAACCCCATCCCCAAGAATTGAATATTCATCTATTTCTTGCTATTGCATTTCCACCTCAATTTTGTACCTACAAGGTAAAATAAGCAGAACTAGTCGACCCATGCTCAGTAATCGGAACCAACAGTCTGCAGCATCGAATTCTATCGGAAAAAGATTAATTCCACATTCCACATCCCCCTCTACTTCCTCTTTCCTAAGTGGATCACAAGCCCCCTCCTCTGTTCTCCGCTCCTTGGTTTCGCTTCCCTGCTCATGGAATTCTAGTGAGCAGACAATTGCCCCTTTTCCAACGTTCGTTTTGTTCCCGCTGTCTTTATACTTCTCTTTTTGGTTCTGATTTCCCATTTACAACCTACATCTACATCCAAGCTCTAGCCGCCATTCAATCATGTAACCAAATCCCTCTTCTCCATTTCTCTATAAACCACGACAAATTCCCAAAGATAATTCCCACAAAAACTTCTCTAACCGGCCGCGAGAAAAAAGAACGATTAATTTTGTCGCAGCACACAAAAGATACCCATTCCACCCTCGTAAAACCCACCAAGCCATTTTGAATGGCCCGTCACCTTGCCTCACTCACTCACTTAGTCACAGCCGAAACGTAGAACCAGAATCAACCCTACTCAAGTTCAAATTCTTTCCCCATAAAGTACGAACAACCCCTTCCAACCTCAAAATCCACCACATCTACTCTCCACCGAACCAAACCAAAATATACACCCAGCTGACGGTTATCAACCTCAGCCTCTATTCTACGACAATTGCGCACCACCACCACCACCACCACCACCACCAACACCCATCAGGCAATCCAGAAATTCGTATACTCTCCCTCCCACTTCCCCCCTCTCCTCACATACTCAATTCCTCTCGCTATAACTCCATCTCCAACCCACACCCTAACTCACCAATCCAAAAAAAAAAAAAAAAAAAACCCCTCAAACCTCCCCAATCCTCAACCAAGACAAAAGTCCTCTTTCCCCTCCTCGCACTCTCACCTTAATTTCACACCAGCCGAAACCAAAGCAAATCAACACCCCACTCAAAATCTCATTACACTCACACTCACCCACCATATACACCCATCCACCCCTCCCCCTTTCCTCAAACAGATTGATCCAAGTTATCTTTGCGTGCGTGCGACTTGCACAACCACCCCTCCCAAACAAAATTGTATTATTCTAACACCGCGAAAGGATTCCGAGCTCAGGTTTTTTAACGCTGTACAAAGGAGTTCGAAGCACAGGTAAGCAAGAAAGCAAGCACAATACATTTCCCCATCATACATACGCCTTTTGATTTCGAATTTCTTCGTTACCGACGACTCTTTCGTTGTTAGGCTAGGCTTGAGGTCAAGCAGTGCGCTTGCTCGCAGGCTTCCAGGGACACTCCATTGTAAATACCAGGTACCATGCCTGGTAAATCACATAACTACTACGTGATATTCTTACTTTTAGTCCCTGGATCTTGAGCGTCAATTTTCTTTGTTGCCGCACGTCTTCGCCTTGCCATCATCCTCATCTCTGCTGGCACTCTGCCGGCACAATCTGAGTCCTATCAGATTCCACAATCTTAAATACCTACATAAAATTATATTCTAGCATCGAATTATCAATACACGCCACGTTCCCAGCCCTCTCCCACCATTACAGACTAATGCTCTCCAACTCCTTCAACCCACACATCCTAGCCACAAGCTCCCATTCATGATCATTTCTACACCTTGGCAACTTAACACACTCCTCCTTGAACTCCAGCTCATGCTCTCCATTTCCAGCCCACTCATCGCAGTCCCTCGCCAGCTCAAAAACGATCTGGATCGCAGCATCCGTCGTCCCATTCTCGAAAATGGAACCCGGAACATGAAGTTGATTATGCGCTTGTTTCCCAGCACTATTTTTGATGGATTCTGTGCTCGGGATAATTTGACTCTCGACAATTTCGGCAATGTGCAAGAAGATGTTGATGAAGCCGTGACGGAGATACTGACTGAGTCCTAGGGTGACTTGGATCTCAGGCTTGACGTACTTGAGGATATCAGAGTTCTGTTCTTTCCATGGGGACTCATCCTCGTCGTAAATGTTCCGGTCTAGCTTGTGGAAGGTCTTGGTAGCTTTGCAGACCAGTGCGAATTGTGTCCGGGGTGACATGAAACCTTCCATGCAACCACCACAAGTGCAGCCGAATCGTATCCTACGGCGATCAATGGCATCAAGTCGGCTCTCTTCTCGAAGAGCGGCCAGACACAACACAGCATTCACAGGAAACCCGTCAAAGTACGGAGTCGTGGTTCTGAATTTCTCAAGTTTTGCTTCCAGCTCCTCCAACGGCGTATATCCCGCCATATTACGTGAAACCTTCAGATATTCGAGCTTCTTAACATGTTTCAGTAACCAGATCACGCATTGTGGTTTCTGTTCCGAAGCTGCGATATGAAGGACATTACGATACAATGGATCGTCTGAAAATCATGATCAGTGTCCAGCTCAGTACGACGATAGGGAGTGGAAAGTACTTACGTCTAACGAACTCGAAGTTCCGCTCAATGTCCGAGTAGAGCTGAAGACATTCGTCTTCAGATAAGGTCATGGTTGCCCAATGCATCGGATGGGTATTTGCGAGTTTCGAGAGATGAGATACAGCGTTGATGCTGGTTCCAAAATATTCCTCACTTTCCATTTCCGGAAACTGGTTGAACTGGTGGCCAAGGATTCCAATCCTATCATCCCATTTCCGATCTTCTTCTTCACACAAGTTCCGAGACGAATGCAGTACATCAGTTGCGAATACAAAGCAACGAGATATTCCAACTCGTCGGAATCCCATGTCACGAATGATATTTGTGACATTCGTGGCATGAATATTCGAATACGCATCGGCGTCCGTATCCTGGTCATATTGATTGCCTGAATGATCCTGGAGCATCCGGGTAGAGAAGGTCGGATCCATTAGAACAAATGCGGGTACAAGTCCTTTCTCGCGAGCCACCTCTATTATGCTTTTGATCATCTTCACACCGAGATCCACATCAGCCCAATCCTCATTCAAATGAATGACATCAACGATGAAGATGTCTTCATGATCAAGCTCATCTCCCCAAATTCCTGTCCCTTTTATCACCTGGTGATCCTTGAATTGCCTTTTCAGGCGACCATATCGATCGAAAAGGTCGGAAGGGATCTCAATGTCGTCTACAGTTTTCATGACTTGTTGGAAAGTCGACTTGATGAGACTTCTTTGGATGTATTTGCCCTTGATGAACGCGATTGTCGATTTCTCGTGCAGGACATCAACTTTGAAATCTACAAACCATCGTCCGTATGGTCTATTGCTTCGTGATACCCTGGATTTGCACTCCAATTGATGTATGGAAGTCTTGGTATATGTCAGAGTCCGAGAATGAACTTCCATCCACCGTGTTTTGGTTTCGAAATTCACGTCATGGTTGTATGTCCTCTGCTCCTCACACGACTTTACCGCAGCGTCATCATCATCTGAGTATTCCGAATCCGAATATGGCAAAGAAGAATCTGGATCCTCCGGTACCGACTTTGGTGGACTCTTCAATATGACTTTTCCTCGAGCTGTAGGTATATCGATTGTCGATTTTGCTTTCAGGGACAATGGTCTGGGAATCATTGATCTATGTTCGTAAGGAACATCCAAATTGCCATGTTGATCATGGCCTACAGGGTCTGATGATAGGTCGATCGCAGAATTGAATTGCCGGTTGGGGTTGTAGCGGATGTCGAAACTATCACACTGTTCTCCAACCTCCTCTCTTTCCTGCACCTTGTCTTCCTCAAACATAACCCTTCCCCTTCTCTTCCGATCATTGTCTATCGAGCTGACATCCTTCGTTCTTGGATCACGTCGTAGCGAGAGAGCATCAGCTTGGCGTTTTGGAAGTTGCAAATTCGATGGCACTGGTCGATTCAGGTTTCTTTTTGGTACTTGGGGGATCTTGCTTGGTATGGGAATCCGGCTTCCTGTCATGGTATGCGATGGTTTCAATTAGACGAGAGCGATTAAGCGATGCTGGATGTGGGTAATGATATCGTTGGGGGGTATGGGTAATGTTGCTGGGTGTTGTTTGAACTTGGTTAGGGGAAACTGGAGAAATTGAAAGAAGAGGGTGAGAGTAAACAGAGACGCTCCTTCTCGCTTGAGGTTTGGGACTTGGCAAGAAAGGAGGCTGCCCATTTGACCTAGCAGAGGAAAGAACCAGAAAGACCAATTGATAGAGAATCTGAACGTGAGTAGAGAAGATCATTCCACAAAGTGTTGAAGCAGATGAGAAACATAGCGTTACCGACGTTTCACACATCTTTCCCCAAATTCCAAGTTCACCCGTCAGAGAGTACCTCCCGCCAGATGAGTTCCAGAACACGCATGACTGCCCTCTAAAAATATTAATAGTTCATCTTAAGGAATATATAGATAATCGACAGATTCAGAAACGCCTGCATGAGGCTTTCAAGACAGTATTAGTTGTTCCAGATAAGGAGAAAAAAATCCTCCTTCATCAGCAATACGAGATTCTGTTCCCCAACAACAGGATGCTGTGCTCAGAAATTGGGTTAGCCACTGGGCTACAGCCTGTGTCTGGAATTT